CAAGACTCATTGATGATGTCGATTACGATGCTGGCCAAATGTCTGCGAATGTTCCAATTCACAGTCCGACGCTGGGAACCTTTGGGGACTTGCCTACTTCCAGAAGCACTTTTTTCTTAGACGTCAAATTTCTCGCACACACAAAATAGAGTAGATGGCTTCATTAATTTTGTGCAGACTAGACATAATCACAAATGTAATTACAGCGGAATCGTTGACTACCCATCTTGAATTTTATCATTATCAAAAAAGGAACTAACTTAAATATAGATGTGTATAAGAAACTCACATATGCTTCTTTTTTTGCAGTTCTTGCCTTTGAGGCTAAGGAAGGAGTTTTTTAATTCGATTTCAATAACAAATCTCTGTCGTGTAGATGGTAATAATCCAGATAAGGTACTGAGAATTTAATGAAAATTTTAGAGTTGAACGATTATCAATATGGATTTATTTTCTATTTTTGAGAATTTTCTACAGCATTTTTTACTTAACATCCTCATTGGCATAGCATTGTCTCGTGTCAATACAGCTAGCGCTTTAGCTAGTATTTCATTCTTCTTACTCTTTACCCAGAATTTCTGGGAGTTTTTAGATTATCTGATTCTATACGAGGTCCAGTTATTCTACTTTTTGCTGTCAGGTTTTTCAGGTTGTAATCATCTTAGGATACGGTAGCCTATACGTGTAAAAACATACATTCGCCTATACACGTGAACCATAACATTATTTACGGCATGAATTAAGATAAGCTACAAGGTTTCCTTCCTTGTTCCTTTCATCCAACAGCAAGAATGAACTTTAATAGAGACTGAGTGCAGGAAACATAACTAGATTAAATCCCAAAAAATATTACTTGGTCTCAATTTACATTTTCTAAATTATATAATTCAGTTCATCGCCACCACCAATCGCCAAGCCGCCTTGCCTTCGCATATCAGCTCTATTGACAAGGCTAAGGTTAGCAGTCGAGTTCATCGCATTGAAGATTCAAATGTGAGCAATGCAGCTCGTGAACTAGAAGAGGTCGTGGTAACTACTAGATGTGCTGGCACGACTTCCTTCTCTACCTCAACTACTACTATGAACACTACTCTAATCGTTAATCTTGTAGCCACACCAAAGGACGTCAATTCTAGCATACCTCTTGCAACCTCTGCAAATGTCTCCACTTTTCCTTGTCCTACCGGAACCACCGTGATGTCCACTTCCCCACTTCGGCCACTGAAGCGGGCCAGTCGATCTGTTGGCCATAGATTAGCCGCAGGCTTTGATCACACACTAACTAGTGGCTGTTCCGATTTGCACTATCCAGCTTACTCTGTCTACTCAAACTCTCATAATCAGAAGACAAATCAAACTGGTTCGACAGGAATGGCCTTAGCATCGTCATTTGCTGGCGCATCCTCTTTTCATGATGCACTAACTATGCCATTATTGCGCCAGTCGCAACCACTTCTAACGCGGCCTGCTCTGAATGATATGACACGTGTTGGACTGAGCTTGGGTGTGAGTGATAATAACTGGGAGCGGCAACTGCAGAGGAAGCATCTCCATTCGGCTTGGCCAGACGCGGAACCAGAACTAGTTGAGATTTTGGCCAATCACACAGATCCTTACAGGTCAGTTGTGTTTTGTCGTACGTTAGTGCGCAAATCTTCTATTTGAAGACTTAGGCATTGTACCTTTTCATCAAGCTTTATCCCTTGTTACATGTTTTTTTTCTAAATTCTTTTGATGAATTATTGATAAAATGCCCGGAAATTTACATAAAATTAAGTTAGTGCATAAATATGGTGTTTATAAATCTAACCATTTAATCTTAGGACATTTCGGTTCGAAGGTAAAACGGATTAAACTATTGAAAATGTCTAACCTAGTTTTTGTAACTTGGTTGTGTTGTCAGGACGACCTAATTGGTTGTGCTCTGTCAGGATTCCTCTGCTATAGTAATCATAATTCAAGATATTGGGCGTGGACTAGTTACATTCACAGACATTTTGCCGTTATCTTCAGTGCGTAATGACATTTTGAGTACTAAGCTACAGTTCGTAAAAGAGACAAGTGAAGTCATTCCCTTGACCTACTTTCTGTTGGACAGTTGTACTATCACCTTTCTGGCTGGTCCATCTATCTACTTCCGCCCTATCACAATTTCTGACTTGTTTATATTCCATTCCTCAAAAGGTGTACCATTTTTTGGTGAGATTAGTATGGGTTAATCACACCTGCTGTTTACCTTGTTTCCACATTTTGAGTTGTGGATGCAACTCATGCTTCCTTTTTGGATCTCCTCCATTGACCCGTAGATTGGTTTCTGATCTTTCTGGTTGACCGATTTCACTCGGCCCAGTTTCAGTTTA